ATTTTACCCAAATCGTTTGTTACATGATTCAGATGAGAAAAGGTACAGAAGAACCGTTATCTATCATTGAAGTGATCCATCGCAAGACGCTGCAACTCCAAAAGGAGCTGAATTTTTTCATTTTCTGAAATAGACTGATAAATAATCTTTTCATCCCTGTCGTTCTATATGCATGCAGCACATCCATCCAACTTGTGGAGCTCACTGAGACAGATCGAGTTCATCAAGTTGTGGCTGCCGGAATTTCTCCCAGAGTGCAAAGAAGGTCCAGTTTTTGATAGTAAAATCACCAGTAAAAGCTGACTAGCCACCGGTTGCGGTAATAATGAATAGTCCGATTCAGCGCACTGGGAACCATCCTGATGCGGCCGTGTGCCCCCCGCCATAAGCACGATTGGCAGATCTATTTTTACGACTGATCCACCGCATGCAATTACTTATTCGACACTAGCGCGGAACTCGGTGTTATCTCACCGGGTACCGGAAACCACATCCTTCGCTCATTAATTTTAACTCTTCAGGTGACAAACGCCTCCAGAATTCGTAAGTGAGAATGAAGGTCACATACTGTAGACCTCGGTTTACACTCTTAATTCCCTTCTTTATTCAGACTTTCTTTTGGCTCGATATTCGATGACAAAAACCGCGGTTCAAGCAACGGATTAGGATCCTAAAGAGGAATCGGAAACACAGCGTCAGTCAAGTTTCTGCAGTTACGCCGGAGAGCCTGGTTTCCGCCATCCGGAGAGAGAGTTCCAGTCAATGATTAAACCACAAAGCTCCATGGTCTGACGAGTCACGAAACCAGCCAAAGTTGATGAGTTTAAAGCATACGATATGATTTCAGGAGAAACGTTACTGGAATGTTATGAGGACAACCCAGTAAATGACAATTGTTGCCTACTGGATTCCTATATGGAAAACTTCACTGAAACGTGCAACTTTGCCCTCATTGTTCCGTTGCAGGACAAATCATATTACACTGTACAGTTTGTACAATCTCCTAACATCACCTCCAGCAACACGTTGGGTATACACATGCAACTGAACTCACCGGACGGTTTGAGACGATATGCACATCTTCATATGACAGATCCGTCAAAGCAACTTTGTCCGGAATTTTTTCGCGTTGGACATACGTCAGATAATGTTCTAGATTTGGCCAGTTTACTCAATCAGCCGGAACGACATGAAATCAGGTTTGCGGACTACACCAGCATTGACCGAATAACAATCAAAGGAGAGATGAATGTGTACCTTTCCATGTCCGCATTTTTGCCCAACCCGGATTATGAGGCGGTCTCTTACTTGATCAGCAGGTCAACCTCATCGAATCAAATCAACGTGGTTAGGAAGTCCATTACTCACAAATTAAAGATACGCCCATGGGAGGTGCATCGCATGGTAACAGAACTTGTCCAAGCACACCCAGACTACGAGGAACAAATGTATCAGTTTCAGTTACAATTTCATACGAGTCGAAATAATCTGGCGTTAGTGATTGTGCTCGCTAGGAAGGGAGAGTATGCGGACCGGGAACTGACCGAAGTGATGCATCAGTGGATTATACAAGGGAAACGCGATGCAAAATTTATTTGGCCTGGAACCCAGTTATGAGGCATATAATTGATTCCACTTTTGTGAATAACTTCCTCTGAGCCAGGCAATGTGAGGTTAGTATGTTATGTTACCCGGAAAGCTTTTTTGGAATGCGGACCTATCTATTCGCAATTTGATCTGACCGAGAAATAGAACTGTTTTAGAGAAGTAGTAACCGAAACGTTTGCTGTCAAATAACATGGTATGATTTGAACAGCTGGAAGAAGAAATGGAAGAAAGATCGAAGTCAAAGGTGATTAATAAGGCGATTTGTCCAAAGTGTAGTTAACGGGCAACGGTGATCTACTGACGAAGATATGAAGTGAACTAAAATTTGAACCAAAATTATCGAATAATATCTTAAAATTAGTATGGAGTGTACAATCTGTCAGCATACCCTATTCTGAATCTAAACCCGAAGGCCTCTAGTGACAGGTCTTTAGAAGCTTCCACAGGAATGCTCGGTCACGCTCCCGTGTTATATCTACGCCCCATTACCTTGTGGGTGAAAATTATGAAAGTTTGCGGTTAGGGTTCCGAAGTAAAAACTGATTTGTCGGTGTGGGCTACCGTGAAGTATGTTGTGCTCTAAAATCTGAGCACACATGTGGAAAATCCTTTTTCTCATGTGTCTTGTTTTTCCTCTCATTTACACATCGTATGATGTGTCTCCTGTTAACGCCTCCCATGGGATATCACTCAACTTTTAATCAGTAATGTCAACTAATCAAAAGTGAGAGCATTGATAGAACCAAAATCTCCATTTAATTTAACATGCTCTCTCGAGTCGGCCAACAAGCTTCCTCAGCCAGAACCGCTTATACTTTCATGTTCGATGTATGCTGTGTCTCCAAGGAACGCATACAAGATTCTACTTCAGTCACCACCTAGCGATCTCCAGATCCAACCCCATCCTTAATCCTAACTCTCCGTGTACCACGTAATTCGGCATCCAAAACTTGAGGTGTTGCTGTTATCACGATTGCGCTCATTTCTAACGCTCCACCCTCACTTCTTGACTGGATTCCGGTAAGTAACCGACTTTGCACTGTACGTCTCGGCAAATCGGTACCGGTCAACAGTCACAGGACGAAGTGTCGGTGTTAACTCGTAGTGGCCGTGTATTCAGTGACCAATTGCAATCCACCTGAAATGAATGGTTGATTCTACAATTATCTCTCTGAACTGGTCCATATTGTTCGGTCAACAGGCATCGTAGTAGTCGCTGGAGCTTCAATGATCCAGAGGAATACCCGGACGAATAAATCAGGTACCTGGGCGAGGCACACGCAATCAGAACAAACCCGACGGAAAACAGAGATCGCCTGGTTCAACTCCAGGCCTAATAAAATACAAGAGGACGTTTCTTTTTGCTGTTCATCACAATACAGACGAATGGAATAGCACTTCTCCATGGGCCAATACCCAAGTATTACAAAGAGGGCTTACACGTTTTACAATATAAACATAATGTAGCGGTTTGATTGTACCCGTGGTCCCACACTTGTGGAAAACATTCTATTTCTGTTTAGGTAGGTTAATCAAAATGTCGGGTCATAGGTTAATCTGGTGAACTGAAGACCGTCATGAACGCAAAGCAAAGAAGCTTAGCATCGCTGTTTGTTTATAGCTGATCTGCATTATGCAGGAAAGGTGTTGCATTGTCTTAATACTTATTCACCTATCGAATATTTCCACGTTTTCTGATTGGTGGTGGCTTCGTTAATCACTATATTTAGAACGACCACGGTGGTGTTCCCATCGTGAAGAGGAATCATGAAATCGGAGTGTCCCTAGAATTTTGGCGCATCTTCGGGTATTCAGTTAACCTTATTTTAAGGAACTTGAAACATTGGGTTCCCTTTAAACAATTCGTTAGAACCGAAAGAAGACAAATACCGCGAGATGTTAACATTTCTTTCAATCTCTTCAGTCGCTACAACGTAAAACAATCTGGTATTTATACAAGCAAGTTTTGATAACTACGGTGGTAAAACGGACAATAGTCAGGGAAGCCGGGGTGAGGGTGGGGTGGGAAATCAGGTCCATGGCAGTTTGACTGATTGCATAAGGAACTTTTGTGCACATAATATTGGGTTACGTAAGTTTATTAGCATCGCCTCGCTAAACGCCAAAATCTTGGGGTTCAAGTTACGTAATAATGGCTTGAACGACATTTGTGGGTCAACGCTGTGTCCAGTTGTCATGAGATGTTTTGCGATTGATGACCCTGGATTTCTCTTATCGGTTTGACCTCTAAGACTTTGTTGCGTCATCGATTGTACCAACCATTTGAGAATGTGTTTAGACATTCGTTGTGCCAGGGGCCGATTCGTTCTGTTTTATTACTACTGATCCCAATCATTCTGTTTCCGCTGAGGAGGAAAAGGACGGTTGTTTGGATTTTTCAGATATAAAAATCAGGAGGCGATCAGATGGAACCTTGCAAAGATCCGTTTACCGGAAGACTACATGGAGTGGGCAATNGTGAAGCAGAAGTTTTCGGCTGGTTCTGTTTTCGATTGTCTAAACGTAGTCTTTGGGTATACCGCATCAATCGAAACTGTGCGACAGGAAACGTTCGACACAGTGCCGCCTTGAGCTTGTGACGCACGTCGTTCAATATATGATTACCTTTAAAGGCGAGTCCGAGGAAGACGCTCTTTTTCGGTACTTCGCAGGGGAGATCAACCGATGTCTTTCGTCTGCTATGCACATCAATAAATTTCTCTGGATAGCGTCCTTCGCAGAAAGGCCTCTTCTTCTTGGACAGTGTCAGGAGAGCAAATATTCCTGGCGCGATGGAACAGAGTCTTCACCAGACCTCTTTTGTGA